ACTGGGTATAGAGAAACAGATTCCAAGCAGAACCTACCATTACCCTAGGTATATTTTGTGAGCTGCTATTGTCTATTCTCTACTTTGTCCAGAGCCAAAAATGTTGTTTTATGCAGCCATTATCCACCTAACACCATTACATGTGGGGCCTTCCTTAATCTCAGGCAGGCCTTGACATAAACTGAACATTTATGTTGAAGAGGAAAGGGCCACAAACTAATTTCCTTCTGAAGAATCTTCCTTCTTTTTTTCACATATTGGTTGCTATGCCAGAAGTTCTCCCTTTCTCTCCATTCCTGACCTCCCTTTCCTTTCCTACAAACTCCCCACTGACATTTGGTGTTAACATTCATACTTAATTTATATTGAAGCAAAACCTCTCCAATTCTTCATGTGCATATTCAATAGCTTTATTGTACATTTTATTTTGGCTATTCTATAGGGTTTTCAAATATAATACTCTTTAAAAACTGAATCTGTTATACATCCTCACAAAGATGCATTACTTGTTACACATCTTGTCATATAGATAAGCGCTATAGAAGTCAACTCAGATTTCTTGTGCTTCTTCAATCCCCTTCTCAATTTGGACACAAGATCATTTTGGACAAATCTATCATCTCTTTTCTCCCTTTGAAAAAGATACTATATAAATATTAGTGATGGAGATAAGAAAGAGCATGGTTACTACAGTTAACAATATATTGGTTTTTTGGCTTGTTTGTTTTTTTTGTATCAGGGATTGAACCCAGAGGCACTAAACCACTGAACCACATATCCAGTGCCTTTTATTTTTTACTTTTTATTTTAAGAGAGTCTTACTGTGTTGCTTAGTGCCTCTCTAAGCTGTTGAACCTAGTCTTAAACTTGATATCCTCCTGTCTCAGCCTCCCAAGTTGCTGGGATTATAGGCATACGCCATTGCACTTGGCTAACAATATATTGTATTCTTAAAATATTCTAACAAAGGGTATATAAAGGGTTCTCACCACAAAATGGTAACTATGAGGTAATTATTATGTTAATTAACTAGACTTAGTCATTCCACAAGGTATACATAATCTCTAAAATATCAAGATGTACATAAAAATGTGTATAAATTTTTCTCAAAAAAATGAATGTTCACAAGTCTTATACTGTATTAGAAATGAGTAGACTTAAGAAAAAAAGGAAGGACAAAAAAGTGTAAAGACAAAAGAGAAAAAGAGGTCAACTAAACAATAGCTGGCATCTATAAGACACAACAAGAGTATAACCATTCTGTCTAATTCTGACCGCAAAAGTATTATATGACTAACACATGTGTGGTAGGAGACTAACTAGATTGAGTATTATTGTCTAGAAAGGACAGGATGGGTGCCATGAAAGTTTTCTTAAGATAGCAAAAAATTCTCCAGAATGATGGGATAATCAAAGGGACAAGAAACGCCAGCCTCACGTAGCCTGGGTGTATGAGGACTGTACACCAGCACCAGTAAGTGCACTGAGCAGAAAAATGGATGCAAGAGAGGGTGAGATCTCAATCAGAGCTACTTGATTTTGAATAAATATGTAAATACAAGCTGGTATACCAGAAAGCCTCTAGAATACCGTTTGGATTTTGTCTTTCTTCCATAGACACTGCTTCTGTCAGCATAAATAAATCAATACAAACATCTACATCTTGACTTGTCCCCATGGACATTGCTGTACCAACAGATCCTGGTCTGGGGAATGTAGAACTCCTCTTTATAGAAATATGGAAAATATATAGGATTATGACTGACACTGAAAAAATGTTTGGGGGGTTAATGCTCATCGTCATGTGCTATTGGGAGTTAGGGAAATGCTGTCAGTCTAACTGTAAAGCTGTGCTGCTTACATCAAAAGTAGAATGGCATGATATTACATATAAATGATGGAACTTTACCAAAAAAATCTCAACAATGATACCTGTGTGTTTAGGTTTGTTACTTAACCGGTAGGCAGTGATTTTCATTTTTTGTTTCACTACCTCGCATTTATTAGCTGTATTTGAGATTAAATGATGCCCCTAGGGGCTGGGGTTGTAGCTCAGTTGTAGAGCACTTGCCCCTTACATGTGAGGCACTGGGTGTGATCCTCAGCACCACATAAATTTTAATAAAAATATTGTGTTCATCTACAACTAAAAAATACTTTTTAAAATGATGCCACTATTGCTTTCACTCTCCATAGTCACCTTTGAGTCAAGACAATGCTCATAATTTTTTTGCTGGGACTTCTTCAAAAGCTTAATGCTTTGTTCTTTGGTCATCAGCTTTGCTTCCTTCATCTATTCCAACACAGTGCTGCCACCTGAGGGATCATTCCTCAACACAGATGGAGTGCTGTGCTTTCCCATGTCTAATGTCCTTTTATGATTTTTCGTCACTTAAAGATAAATGCCAACAATTCTGACACTGCATACAAATTATTTTGTGTATTATCTTATTTTTACTTCATCACTGTCTGTCCCTCATACATATCTTTGCCATAGCTGTATTAGTCTATGTGAAGTTCCTGGAATTGGCCGTGATTTTTTTTCTTTGAATATATTATTCCCTTTGCCTGGATGTTGAGCATGTACCTTCTCCTTATATTCCTCACCTCACAGTAGTGAATCCCTTTTGAAGTGTCTATTGATCCCTCATTCAGTCATCTATAATAAACACAGGTCTCATGACTCTGTGCTATAATTGTAATTGTTTCTGCATTTTTTACTCTCCCCTACTATGCTCTGTACTTCTTCAGGGTGAAGGCTCTCATTAGTTTGATATGTTCAGTACTTACTTCAGTAGATACTCAGAGAACAGAGGGATAGACTAATGGAAAGATGGTCAAGTGGCTAGATAGCTAGCTACACATATAACAGATAGAAAGCCTATGGAAATATCTTCATCAGTCACCAACTTCCCCATTCAGAATGTACTCTGTGAAATACTGCTGAAGTTGTTTTCACAAATTGATCTCACCAAGCCAAAACATTAATTGACTCCTCATAAATTACAACATAATTTTTAATCTTCCCTGATCAGAGATATGTACACTTTTTCAGTCATTCCCAGGCAAACACTCCATGTCCCAACTGTAGTAAATACCTTGACATTCCCAAACACTATCATTTTACTTGTTCATTTACTCCTCATTTATTACTCTTTCCTAATATCTGCACTAGTGCTAATATACTATTTTTGTTGGTTATCTTAGTGTAGCTAATAAAATGCTTTATAATTTTGACAAAAGTTTCAACTCCCATTTTTATTTTTTTCTAAAATTTTAATGTGGTTAATCTGAAGAAAATTGAAGTAACTTTTGGTTGGGAAAGCTCTTCTGAGGGAATACAGTTCCTAAGAAATATATACTAGCATGACGTTAGGGCCCAGATGCTTTTCTGAATTTTGAAAAGCCTCATTCTCTTTTAGTACAGGAGGTGGTACTTGCACCTATGGAGTACCCTTCAAAACTGAAGGGGCTTCTAGGAATCTGATTTAAGAACCTTGTGCAGTAAAGCACACCTATGATTCTGCCTGAAGACTGATTTTTCACTCCAAACTTCCTCAGTTCTATGTTAGGTGTGCCAGGAAGCTCAGGAACAATCCTTAAGATTTCTAGATAGCTTTTTGTTTGTTTGTTTTTGGTACTGGGGATTGAGCCCCAAAGCACTTTTACCACTGAGCCACATCACAGCCCTTTTTATTTTATTCATTTACTTGTTTTTAAACTTTGAGATGTTTGTCTCACTGAATTGCTTAGGGCCTCACTAAATTTCTGAGGCTGGCTTTGGACTTGTGATCCTGCTGCCTGCCTCAGCCTTCTGTGTCATTGAGGTTACAGGTGTGTACCACTGCACCTAGCTCTAGATGCGCTTTTATTTAGTAGAGATTATCCTTCCAACTTCAACTTAATTATCTGAAATGTTTTTGCCGGGAATTTGTAGTTCCATCCTTGATTTCATATATATTACTGTGATCATGTCTTTCTGGAAAAGTTCTACATTTGATCATTTACTAGTTGGAGAGGCTGGAGATGAGAAATAGTTTTATTTTCTGGCACAAGTCATGGTCCCTCTATATTCTTTCTCTTTATTTTCAAACTGGCTTTTTATTTAGCCTCTCTCTTTCTTATTGTACCACATTGCATGCAAGTAATAAGAGGTGTGATATTTTAACAGTCTACCTAGAAATCTCATTACTCATACACAAAATTTCACTGGGTATATTTTCTGTCCCCCAGGTTACATCAGGTGACACCATTACCAATTACTTCTTACTATGTGACTTTGGTAATTACTTTTTCTAGATCTGTGGTCATTTCTGACTGTTATTCCAGATCCCATCTACAACCTCCTACCAAAGCCATGGCTATATATATTAGGTATTTCTTATTATGTAATTAATTTCTCTATAGCAATTTCTGTCTTATTCTTCTGTTTCTATCACTTCTTTCAAGCAAGCTAACATGAATGGGTACTCATGACAAGGGTGAAGTTCCAAAAGAGGATGTGGGAACTTTCATGTGCTTTTTCAAACCTCTGTTAAGATCTAGCCAGAGCAGATCATATGGACAAGCCCAGCTTCTCGGTATCCAGAAATAAATTATACCCCTTTGGTGCAAGGAGTTACAGAGTTATGGAGCTGAGTGTATGAATGCAAAGAAGGTACTTGTTATAGTTATTCTGAATCCAGTCTACCCAACATATTCATGTTAAGCTTTTTAAAATAAATTAAACAATATTTCTTTTACACAAAATGAAGTAATCCCAAACTGAATTAATAACTTGCAGATGCAATAATTTTTATGTGGTGTAATTTTTCCTCTGTTACATACCATTTGTCTTAAAAGCACACAGTTTCAAATTGATTTTATAGACATTATATGTAAATCCAAATACTAAAGTGACTTTGCCAAGGAACATCAGTGCGGTGTGTGAGTGTGTTTCAATGCCAACCTCTCATTCTTCCTGAAACACAAAAAGTCAATCTCTGTTCCTTTTTCCTCAGGTGATATCTGTGATCCCAATCCATGTGAGAATGGAGGCATCTGTTTGTCAGGGTTGGCTGATGACTCCTATTCCTGCGAGTGTCCAGATGGCTTCACAGATCCCAACTGTTCTAGTGTTGTGGAGGTTGGTAAGTGCAAGATTTAAGCATTTCAGTAGTTATCCTCTTAGTTTTCATGAATGACTGACAAATTTGGCTGGCGTGTTATGAAGATTATGTGTTAGACTGCAGTGTGATTTACTTATCTGTAGGACTCTCAACTTTATCATTTCCAGTTAAATTAAATTATATTTCCATTAGTGGCATTCTAAGTAAATTTTTTCTTATATTTCTGGTGATTCATACTATAATTCAAGACACGATAAATAATAATTGAATATAACACAATCCTTATATCTCAAAAGTTAATTTAACTTTTTATTCTCAAATTTAACAAATAATTTTCAAGTTAATTTTTCCAAGTTAAGTTAGTTGAAAAAGAAAGTGTTTCTTAGGCCCTGTTAATATGCACCTGTACTTTGTAGCTGTTCTAAATAATTACTTTTCTTAGAATATAAATACATATTATATTTCTAAGAATTTAAACAGGACAGTATTCCAATTGCAAACTCTTCATGATCTTTTCAAAAACTTTGCTTTGAAAAAATTGATTAGAGTTACTGATTGCATTTCAAAATGAAGTTTTATTTTAATCTGTGAAGTATTTCATTGATATGTATAGTTATGGATTTAGGGTAACTTTTAGAATTTCTAAATAGCTCTCCATTAGGGAAATGGTGTACTTTAAAACAATTGGATACTCTGTAAACTTGTACAGGGATTTTGCACTCTGATTAAAGGTAATATTATAATTAAGTCTGAAAAACAATTATATTTTTTACATTTGTACAAAGAAGAGTACAAAATTGACTATATCTGTTCTATAGAAAGAAACCATATGTTTTCATAAAGATCTGTTAACTAAAATGGTCCTTGGAAAATTTGGGTACTTTAATAGCTTTTGGAAAATGGTTTTGAAGAAGATAAGCATTACTATTTTTAGTCAGTAATCAATTTGTGTTATTAATCATTACATCTAATAGTAACTTATGCATAGTAAGAGCCCATTAACTGTCAGTTAAATAAAGGTAGAACAATTAAATAGGACCATTAATTTACCATATTTGGCCACTAGTTATCTAGTTATTGGGTTTTCATGTACTTTATTTCTTAAATGTATTTTTCTTTCATTTTAAGATTTTAACATTGGTCTGACTGTATCTGTAAGAGTTAATTAAATTATTGCTGAAAGGTACTTTGTTCATTTAATTCACTTCAAAAATAAATCTTCTTTAAGGTTTTCATTAACTCACGGTATTTTAGGAGATTTGACAAAGTGCCACAGAAATAAAAATTTTGTAACCACTTTGACCCCATCTTCAAATATATGCACTTGATTTTTAGAACCAAAATGAAAATCGTATCCTTTCAGAGTATATATTTCTGAAGGAAATTATAGCTATAAATATTCCTACTATGACAATATGAATAGAATAGAATATTGGTATTATATTTTAACCCAACAACCACAAATTGCAACATCTTAAATTTATAGTCTATGTTTTTGTGAGTACTTTGAAAAAAAAAAACAAATATAGAATCGATGAAAAATGTGTTTAAATAATTAAAAAAGTGGCATCTTCACAGAATTTTATGTAAATACTTGAAACTTCTGGGCCATATTTTTAAACATTAATTCAATATTTATCATTTTATTAGAAGAGAGGTTTTTAAGGACAGTAACATTTTGAAAACTAAGCACCCTACCATATTTCATTTAATTTAGTGAGTCTTTGGGGACTCAGATAGCTATAGAATTAAATTTAATTCATATTTATTGTGATATGTTATTAAAAGACCTCTGATAGTCAGACATTGTATAATTTTACTAACTTAAGCTATATGTCTGTTTGATATGTAACAGCACTCTTTCTTAAGATATACTCAGGTATATGTTACTTGGAATAAATGTGTTTGTGTTAGTATTCGCACTGTTATTTAACATAGTATAGTAGTTATACCAATCTTAATTTCACATATAGGTGTTATACCATTAAAATAATAGAAAATAAGAATCTTAAAAATTAAAACATCTGTAGTTTCTTATATAAATTTTGCTATTTAAAATTTTTTTGAGGTGTCAGAATATAAGGGGAAATCAAAAACAATTTTGAAGTTAGATACCTCTATAGGACAGTCATATTACGTTACTTATCTTTCTATATATCCTCTTTCTCAAGTCGCATATATTAAAAGAATACAATTTATTTATTAAATCCAAATAATTAGCAGTAATGCTTTTAGTATCTAGCCTACCTTAGGTTTCTTCATATTTTCAAAACTAATTATTGGGACCAAATACTTGAAACATTAGATTCTTTCCCTGGGGAGGGGGGAGTATATTGGAAATTGAACTAAGGGACATTCAACCACTGAGCCACATCCCTAGCCCTATTTTGATTTTTATTCAGATACAGGGTCTCACTGAGTTGCTTAGTACCTCGCTATTGCTGAGGCTGGCTTTCAACCTGCAATCCTCGTGTCTCAGCCTCCTGAGCCACTGGAATTACAGTTGTACCACACTGCTCAACAGAGCATTAGATTCTTAGGGGCTGGTGTTGTGGCTCAGTGGCAGAGCGCTTGCCTGGCACATGTGAGGCACTGGGTTCGATCCTCAGCACCACATAAAAATAAATAAATAAAATAAAGGTATTTTGTCCATCTACAACTAATTTTTTTTTTTTAGATAACATTAGATTCTTAAAGCCCATTCTGTCTTCTCAATTTGAAAATGATCTGCTTTGCTGAAACTTTTGCGGTTACTCTTCTCTGCTTTTAATTAACATCAGTGAAGAAAACAGGATATAGCAATATTTTATACAAGAAACTGAGTGTTTTAAGGTAATATCTTAAAAGACAGAAGAGGTGAACTGTCATCATTGCTTTATTTTACTTACTCATTACTACATCAAATATAGAAGTTTCTTCTTTGCATCCAAAGTTTCTTCTATCCTTTTCAAAACACATAAATTTTGTGATTTTATGGAGTTCTAAATGTTCCTTTTACTTTCCAAGGGCAAGAAAAGAAACTTATTCATATTTGCTTAGAAAAATTTAGGTTTTAGTCTCAATTTTTAAAATTACATTTACCCTACTCATTCTACAGATAAACTTATACTCCTTCATTGCAGTTCATCTGAAAAGGAGTTTCAAATGCATGCTTAGAGAAAAATCTCCCTTCAATACTTCACTACCAACCTTAATACTTTAGATTAGCCTTGTTATAAGTTGATGCTACTTATTTTAAAAGAAATCTTTGTACAGTTTTGTACATTTTTGTCAAATATGCAGAAAATGCTTTACAACTTTTACAATCAGTCCTCTCATCATTTACATTCTTATAGTAAGCCAAATTGGCATGCTCCATTTTGTGAACTTCATTCATTAGAAAATATTGCTTCTCTTTGGACTTTATTTTGGATACTTCTTGTTATTATTATTATTCTTTTTTTTTTCTTTTGGATACTTCTGTGTACTCCAATATCCACTTTCCCTCACTCTTTCTGTGTTTCTGTCTCCCACACATGCAACTCTTCCCACATAAACCCACATATCTCAGTATGCCCAGGCTTTTACAGTTATTAAAACTGCAAAAGTCAGTAGAAAAAATTCTCTGACAGCAAACAAAAACAACTCCTCCCCCCCCAAAAGAAAACAACAACAACACCTACTTCACATCTTTGAATGTATAGACATTTTCCAGGCACAGATGCACACAGATACACACACTACGTCTCCCTTTCACACCTTAGGAGTGACCTCCAGTGGCTAAGCCCAAATTACTTTTCAGTTACCTACTCACATGTCTAGACAGCACTGTGTTATTTGGAATATAGTGTTCATACATTCATTTCATATAGCAAATTTCCATTGCCAGTGGATGTTTTAGAGATCTAGACAGAAATATTGGTAGTTATTACATTGTGTACTAATTCAGTAAATTAATAACAAATATAAACTCTTCCAGCTCAGATACTTATGTGTTAATGAAATCAAAGGGGGCAAAATAAGTGTTCAAACTTTTATTAAAAAATAAAATTAGGGATATAGTTTAGTGGTAGAGTGTATGCTTAGCATGTGTACTGCTCTGGGTTCCATCTCCACCATCACCCAAAATAAATAAATCAATAGATATGTACAGAAATTAAATCTTAGCTTGTATTCTTAAGTAAAATTTACTGAGCACTTGAATGCTGAAGATGCATGGTAAAGAAATTTGCAGAAATTGCTGTCCAGGTGGAAAAGTAGATAAGCATTTATATTGATTATATGTATTTTATGGATGATCTTGTTGCTTTATAGATGATCAGTCTTGCTTGAGTTGTGGAGAAAGCACTAGACATTGGTGCATAGAAGAATTGGGGGAAAGTTTTAATAGCTAAAATAAGCATTCAACAATATATTTGTTTACTCACTCATCCATCAAATGTTTTAATAATTACCTTATACCAGATTCTGTTTTGGACACTGAAGATATAATCCCTAAAAAATAATAGTCTTTACGTACACGAATCTCAAAGACTGAGAAGGTGATGCTTGACAGACTGAGAAGTTACCATTTAAACAGAGAGTAAACCTAAAAATGGTTTTGAGATGAAAACTGAGATAAGTAGGGATGGAGAATGAGAATGGTAGCTGAGAGGGGAATTTGAACCAAGGAATGGTTTTCCTTTAGAACTAAAGACTCTAATGATATTATGGTCCAAATATAATACATAAAAATTAAGTTGGTATTTTCCTGAAAATAAGCTATTAGATATCTTAGAGAAATTTACAAGTAATTAGCATACATTTAACCTATTAAATATACAGGTTGAAAACAAGGAATATAAACTTTGGAATTTGGTTGTAGTAATGTAAGACCGTTCATCAGTTTTGGAAAGAACCTGTATTTTTTATTTTATTTTATTTATTTTTTTGTGATACTGGGGATTGAACTCAGGAGCACTTGACCACTGAGTCACATTTCCAGACCTATTTGTATTTTATTTAGAGAAATGATCTCACTGAGTTGCTTGGCACCTCGGTTT